CAACATATATAACAGTTGGAATTAAAACATTACAGGAGTTAGGTAGTTAACATAACATAAACCAACAGAAAACCCCATCAAAGTTAATTATGAAATCGGGAATAAGCGCGAATCAGTAACAATATAAAAATATATTTAGGAGTTACATAACAATATAGAACTGCTGCTAGGAATTGAAAAACTAACTTATATGGTTAGAAAAATACAATTGTAAATGATATGAATAGAATTTAAATGAAAATCTTTCTAGACGGTTATTATAGTACAGTACATCAAAGAAAGTTTTCTTACTTTAATTTAAACAGAACATAATGAGGTTATAGGCACAAACACGTTAGTTTTTAATTGTTACTCTTTGATTCTACTTAACAATTAGAAGGTATTAAGAGTAAAGAGGCTACAGAACTTGTTTCATCCTTGCTTGAAAACCTATTTTTTTTAAGATAGAAAACTAATTGTTAGTTAGTCTGATATAGGATATTATGTCGCACGAATTGGTCCAATAAAGTGGAATACTAATTTTATATATTGTTGCTTTGCATCTATTAAGCCATTATACAAGAGGTTTTAACATACATCTAGTGGAAGAACTGATGATACAAAACATAATTCCAGTTTTCCAGCATTTACGATGAACTACAGCTGGCGAGTGAAAGATAGAAGATTCCAGTTATTTATATAGCGAAAGAGATGATCTTGGCTATGACGTGCATCAACTTTGGCCTCAATAACAAAGTCATCTATTAACTGCACAATTTATCACCCTGCACCTCTGCCATACCTTCTCGATTTTATTCTTTCAGACAGCCATGAATTCACTTCCCCCACTTTCTCCAACACACTTTTCCCTTTTCCCTTTAATATTTGCACGTAGCAACATATACAAATTCTTTTTGGCCATTACAATTCTAGTAAATCTTTTCATATCTTCTTGTTTCCAGCCGCTCAATTCCATTGCATCAAGCCCCAGACTCGGGAGAGAGGATTTGTGTATATGGGTATTATTAATAATAGCAATTACAGCAGCAGTAACAGGAAATATTATTTCTCACCCCAAGGGAAGATGGCGTCACTCGGGTATTTTCTAGTGATGCTGGCAGCGACGATGGTGAACACTGCAACCGCTGTTAGTCAAGAAGTGGGAGGACCCGTGGAGCAGGTGGGCGTGTTGGTGGGTCAGGTGGTGGAGTACCATCTCACCGGCTGTCACCTGGTGCTCATCACCACCACAAAACACTCACACATATTCACTAATATAGTCAGGTGAAAAATTAATATTTTTATCAGTAAAATAACAGAAAAAAAATATTGATGTATGTTATTATGTATATGTGTCGAGTTTATGCAGGATCTAGTGGACTTTTAAGACTTTTCAATGTGATGGATGACTTTAGTTCTAACAAACTAATGAACCGATTAAACCTATCTATTAAACAAATTCTTATGTCTAAAACAAAATCCCCATTACACATCTTGGATAATTATTCATTCACTATCCTATCACCCCGTTAATTCACCGTCGTTATCATTGTATGTCACTATGTGGTGATAGAGGATACTTACCTCACTCTCTCATTATGAGACATTTATCTTTTAATAACGTTTATAGTTGCTCAGCATAACTCATTGCTCGCGTACTCCTAGCCGTTGGATCAGAAGAGGTGTTGTGTACAAAGTAGATAAAGTAGACGTTCTTCGCTTCTTGCAATTCCGTATAATATTCTAGTGATTCTCCGCACTTTAAGTTATAGGGACGGTGCTAAGCTCGTGCCCCGGGATATAAGATCCGAAAAGGGTACAAATTACTCAGTTTATTTGCTGGTTTTCTTGCTGGCTTTCTTCTTGTCCAGGCGTTATCTTATTGTTGTTGATTTTTTTTAATAAGATACTGAAAATTAGACATAATAGTGAACAAGCGCTTTGGCAAAGCCATTGAGTCAGTTTTGTTATTTTCTTTGTTTCTTTCTTGTTTGTTCAAGGTTATTATAAAAATGCAAACGTGTGCCTCTCAGACACTTGGGTGTGGCGGCTGTCGTGGTTGTGGAGGCAGGGTGGGTGTTGTCCCAGGACCAGCTGACCCAGGACCACCTCCTGCAGGAGCTGTGGGGAGACACCAGAACCACCTGCCGGGCCCTCATCCTTGATCTCACTGCCAACAACAGTGTTGACCTCGTCTTCAGGTAATATTACAGCTAGAAGGTCAAGAAAAGTCTGAGATGTAATCACTAGTGTTATACACAATATAGTCCTGAATAGCATGTCAAAGGATAATATTATTATCCTTGTACTTAACTTGCCGGACAAACCATTTAAAAGCTTAACACCATATTCCAACATACTGAAAAAAATTTATAGGAATTATATCATTAACTGCACTTTGACATCACATGTAATGGCTAACATTTAGCCTTTACCTTGAAGTCCTCTCCATTCATTATTACTCCTCTTCAGATTGTTAGAGTCGTCAGGTTTGTGGCAGTTGTCTGAGACTCGAGTGTTAGTGGTGGGTGAGAATGAAGGGGTGGAAGAAGTTTTGTTCCATCGTCATCTCCGCAACATCGTCCACGCCTTTTACCTGGCCCTCCAAAATCTTACCAGTCACACCTTACCTTTCCTCGGAAACTCACGCCTCAGGATAATTCTCCCACAGGAAAGTTAGTAAATGTTGACCAAATATGAATTTACGTTATATATTTGAAAATAAAAAAGTTAGGTTAGGTTAGATTAAGTTAGGTTAGGTTTTGTTTTATTTCAAGCTTCTAATATACATGTATTTTTATAATCTACATAATCTCTTATTACCAGTCAGAAGTTTCTAAAAAGGATAAATACATAGGAGTTATCGTTAATCGGCAATTATCCCTATTTACCGTAGCACACGCACGCATACTTATATATATATATATATATATATATATATATATATATATATATATATATATATATATATATATATATATATATATATATATATATATATATATACTAAATATCTTGATAAAATCAGGGAAAATGGAAACAACAGTTGTAGCATGGGTAATTGTCTTTCTGCTCCTCTAGCCTGTATTTTTATGGAGTTTTGAGTCTAGATTACTACAATATAGTGGACTTTATTCCTCCTTGGTATAGATATGTAGATGATGTTCTTTGTCTTTGGCCTAAAACAGTGACCCATTGGATTTTTAGACAAGCTTAATATATGTCCCTAGTATCACATTCAAAATTGAAAGAAATAAATGAATCCCTTCCATTTCTTGATATGCTTATCATGAAAAATGGCCAAAACTATAAATTTAAGGTATATAGAAAGCCCACAGGTAGACAGTTTCATTCTTTTATCGAATCACCTTGAGTCAACAAATGTCAGTTTTTTCTGCTATGTTCCTAAGATGTCTGCGTATTTGTGACTCTGAATTTATTGACGATGAATTTAAACACATTCGTTCTATTGCATAGAAACTTGGGTACCCTTCTGTGTTTGTTGATCGTTGCTTTAAAAGGGCTAAAAATCCTTTCATTCCTCAAACAGACAAGTTCCTACACTTAAGAATATTTTGACTCTGCCTATCGTGATGAATTTGTCCCGTTAGTTCGGTCCTCAAGCTTCTAAATATTAATGTTGTTTTCAAGTATGACTCAACCATTACCAATATGTTAATAAGAATAGCCAAGTTTGAATGTAAATGGAAGTGTTTATTGTATTCCATGTAGCAAATGTAATTGTAATTATGTAGGTCAGACAGGAAAAACACTGCAGCTCAGAATCAAACAACATAAGTATAATATCAGAACTGCATCTGGAAGCAGTGCCTTGTTCGTTCATGTTAGGAATAATAATCACCCCATTGCTTGGGAAAAAGCTTAGAAGTATTCAAATCATCTTGTGTACAGAAAGACTTCGGTTGAAGCTAGTTTGATTAAAATTAAAATCAATAAACCTTAGTGATGGTCAGTTCAAAACTGATAATATGTTACATAAATTTATTTGTTAGTGGCCCAAGGTTAAAAATGCTTTGAAAACCTTTGATCTTGATGTATGATAGTTATTTTGTGGGTCCCTTATTTTGACCTGACCTGTCTAGTCACGTCATCTCCTCTTAAGCCTCTCTACGTGTGTTGGTGTGGGGATTAGTGGATGTCATCATTATGACCTGACCTCATGTTTAGGTCACCCTGTATATTTAAGCCTCTCGTCCATGTAATCCAGTTGCCTCTGAAGATGTCTTGAATAAAGACGAAAGCTAAGGTACTCCGTTGTTTCCATTTTCCGTGATTTTATCAAGATTTATCTTATCCACGTTTTCATTGGGATTTACATGAAATATATATATATATATATATATATATATATATATATATATATATATATATATATATATATATATATATATATATATATATAAGTGCGTAAACCACTGTAGATGTGATCTAGGTAGAAAGAAAGAAAACACGAATTCCCAAGCGCTTTTGTAATTTTACACGAAAGCGCTTGGGAACTTCGTGTTTTCTTCTTTCCTTGTGGTCAATTTTTTTTATATGTAACATGCTCCCATGTTGTTCCATATTATTCCTGTAATGATGTGTTAAATTTACTATTATATATTCTAGTCACCTTACCCTGTGCTGTTAAGGTTTTAACTGTCATTATTTGTTCAAGCCCATCTTATTTCTTTATTTTGTATTGTAACCAGCATTCTTTGTTCGCTAACGACCATCTGCATCGTTAAACGACCCACCGGCGGGTAGCGTGTCGCGAGCCGACCTTGTTACTTAATTTATTTGTGTTGTTCCTGTCGCCACCAATGTGGTATATCTATGTGAGTACCTATGTATGTCTCTGTTTGTGTCCATCAGTATTTGCTTAGTTGTATTCAAGTAATTCAGTGTTGTTTCACGTTAGTTAATTTCAGTGATAGTTTTTATATGTTTATACAGTGTTAACGTAATCCAATGCTTTATTTTTATTCTTTTGATGTTTTGTATCACTTGTGTCTTAAAAGTTTCGATGGTGAATCAATTTGTTGTGACAGCCTACGAGGCTCTTTATTGTGTTAATATTTAATGAATTAAATTCTTAAAGGTTTACTTTATTTATTTTTATTCTCTTTTAATTTACTTCACTTTTTGTTTGGTTACGCCTAGAACCTGGATATTTAAGTAAATTAAGAGACGGCGTAACAATATATATATATATATATATATATATATATATATATATATATATATATATATATATATATATATATATATATATATATATATATATATATATATATATATATGAATCTCTTAGTATTACCATTTCAAAAACATTCTCTCAAATTCATTTACAACTGAAAACCTGGAATGTTAATGTGGCATTTAAAAACTCATGCACTGTAAAACAGATGTTAATCAAGAACTCCCCCAACAATGTAGGCGGCTGCATTTACAAGGTCCCTTGCAAGGAATGTAATATGTTCTACTTAGGCCAGACAGGTAAAGATCTTGTAACTAGACTTAAACAGCATAGATATAGTGATAGGGAAGGCCAGGAATCCAATGCTAATAATAATAATAATAATAATAATAATTATAATATACGGTTTATTAATAGAGTTGCAGCCGGTGGGTGAAAATATTCAGACTTACATTTGATTCAGACACAATGATATAATATGCATTGAATACATTTACAGGGCTGTACAGTACATCAATCAGGAATTGTTTATTATTTTAATAATAGATGGGATGGTGCTATTCTTATATCTATCGGTGCGGGCTCTTAGGGGCTGAATTTTGTTGTAATGGCGGACTGCTCTGTTCGTTCATATGAGAGATAATAAGCCTTGCATTGACTGGGATAATGCCTCGTCAATATTAATTGTAATTCAATTGTCAGTAGGAACATTATAGAATCTAATCTCATTAAACATATCGAATCCGTCAACATGAATTTGAGTAATGTCATGTACACTTGCAACAAAAAGTATCGGTGCATACTGTAGTGTGAACAATTTGAGACCAGTGACGATAGGTATTGGGAAAGGCGAGTTGTTCCAGCCGTATGTTGACAGCCCTGTAATCCTGCTGAGTAGCTACTATGGCCTGGTCAAGTGAAACAAACCGTTATAAATAAGGTCGGGAGTGATAAATAGGCAGTATGAAATATGAGGAGCTCCCTGTTAATAAAATTATTTGTGATACTTGTGAATATTGCTACATAAATTTATGCTACCAAATAAACCACTCAACCTGGTCATCCTGAGGGGTGGTGCAGCGTAGACTGCCGCTCCGAGACCTGTCGTCTGTAGCACCAGTTTCGAGGTATCGCCGCCGAGGTATCTCTGACGCCGAACCCTTCGTTATGAAGGGCAATAATAGCTTTCCATGTCGTCTGGCATGTGTAGATCTCTACTGCTTCATATTGCCTCTGTTTTATACCCACGTTCACCGAGACCGAGCCCTCGCTCATCATTCAGTCGACACAAAGCAACAATCCGAAAAGAGGAAACAAACACACTGATTGTCAGCCATATGGCAACACCTAGTGGAGGGGAGGGGGAAGTTATGAAGATACACTTACCAACCTTCCCGACATATCACAATACATATTACACCCTGCACCGATACTTTTTGGTGCCAGTGTACAAACTGGATAATTTTGTAACCGGGTGAGAAGGTTGGGTCATATTACCCTATGACCTGACTACAGACAGCTGCTATGCTTATGAGATTAGTAGGGTCACTGCCTTATGACCGGACCATTGTGGACACCTACGGTCCCCTAGGGACTTGATCTCACTCTCCTCTACTGTATATATTAGCCTTGTCAAGAATTACTCCTTAGTCTGTACTCCCCCTTGAAGGTGTGAATTACATGAAAGAGCTTGGGAACTTCATGTTTCCTTGTGGTTCACGACACCATAAGCTCGTTGAACAGGCTTTGTGTGAAATATAACAGAGTGTAAGACTGCTTTTTCGTGTCCTGGTGGCCCAGAGGTAGCGTTCCCCGGTCACAATTATAAGATCATGGGTTCGAATCCTGGTGGGGTGAGGTGTTGATTATATGTAGAAGTCCGCGTGCTTTATTGGGCTAATGAAATATAGACACTTCATTTTAGTCCATATAACACGTGGACTTGAACATATAATCAACGACCTCACTAGCCAGGACTCGAACCCAAGATGGCGCCATGAACCGCCCTTGCCACTTATGTGGTGGGAGTAGCATTTTACCGAATCCAGCTGGTATGAAACACGAGGTACCATATATACTTCATTTTAGTCCATTCCAGCTACTCCCACCACATAAGTGGCACGGGCAATCCCCAATGGGAGGTTCACTGCGCCATCAGCTCGATGAACAGGCTTTATGTGAAATATAACATAGTCGAAGAATGATTTTTGTGTCCTTGTGGCATGGTCGGTAGCGTTCCCTGGTCACACACACTTTAGGTCTAGGGTTCGAGTCCTGGCTGGTGAGGTCGTTGAATAAATATATATATATATATATATATATATATATATATATATATAAAGAGAGAGAGACATAGTATATGGATAATTGAGCCTGTGATTTATGAAGCCATCGGTATTCAAAGAAGTTTATAAATTTGTCCACATTTTATGGGCCTGCAAAGTTTAAGTAGCTCATATTTCATAATTCTACACTCATCTGCTCACCCCCATCTATAACTGTCTCTCGTAATTCAATATCTTGTGGCAAAAAAAATATTATTTTGATATTTGTAAGCATTATTTATTCCTCTAAAGTTTTCCATAATTCATCTCATGAATTTTTAACCAATATCCGCTCCAGCGATACACGGCAACACTAACGAAGAGAAAGTGAAATGTCTCCCGGAAATAAATTACAGAAGTGACGCACTATGATCAAATATAAAAACACAAACATCTCTGTGTGCACCTTGTGATATTACTGAATATAATTTATTGTTTGATGCATACTTAATTATGGAAAAGCCTCTCTCCCTTAGCAGCATCAGTGAGTGAGCGTGTGTGGGTGTACCGGCGGTGTCTGTACTGCAACAATGGGGAGGCGGACGTCCAACTTATCCACAAGTGGAACCTCACCTCCCTTCCCTATCATACTGCTGACCTCTTCTTTCAGGGTGAGTTTTGCTTTCCAACCTTACTATTGTAATACCGATATTCTTCCTAAAGACAAAACATAATATTCACTCATTTTCAGGTCGTTTATATTTCTACACGATTGAAAAGGGTAAAACACCTAACTTGTGTAAACTTTTTTATATTTCAAAATTCATTCTAAGTTAATTTTTTCTTATATTCTTGAAAAAAAAACAATGTGAATTCAGTCAACAAGCACCACATCTACAGGGTAAATATATTTCGTTACTCTCAGGGTGCATTCTTGAGACCAAAATATAAACAAAACAAGTCACCATATTAACTTGGATTGAAAAATCTGAAGGTTTCCAGCTATAGCACGTGTAAGATCCATTGGAACTGTTATATAAATTACGTGACATTTTATGTAAATATTTAGCATAATTCATTTGATTCAGCAAAGAAAATTTTTGAAATTCTTTATGCTTGAATGCATAAATCAGCTCGGTTGCACCAGTGATTATCCGTCACACTCAACAATTTTCTGAGTATTGCGGGTCGTTTCGTAATTGTCTCAAGCTCGTTGTCACAAAATCATCAAGTGCTCGGACTTCTATGTAATAAACTGTGCTTTTTAAATAATCTCATGAATAATAATAAAGATAAATTAAATTTGGGGACGTAGGTGGCCATGGAATAGAACTTGACGACATATGCATCATAGTGTACAGATCATTCCTTTCGTTTAACGAGGGAATATTTTCATGTTTTGTATCTTACGACGAGGTGTCATAAGATACAAAACATCAAAATATTCCTTCGTTAAACGAAAGGAATGAGCTGGTGCACCATCACGCATTAGTCGTCGAGTTCTGATAGGCTCGTTTTAGAACAGCGTGGTAAAGTCTGGCGAGGAAATGCCTCTTCGAATCACCAGTCAGTCTCTGCGGCAGCAGATATGGGCCGATAAAATTATCAACAACGCCAGTCCACACCTTGACTGCATCTTGTTACTGATGTGTTCTACTTTTTGCTTTTATTGCGTGAGGAGTCTACCTGCCCGAGTATTTATGATGTTAGTGTTAAAAATTTCTTCATTTGTCCAACTCACAGTTCCATTAGATCTCACACGTACTGTAGTTGGAAGCCTACTGCTTTCTTGATCTATGTGTATGTGGTATTTTGCCTTATTTTTTTCTCAAGAATACAACCCTGAGTTATCTGGAACACAATTATGTCAGCATGTACAGGTCATTTCCACACCAATGCGCTTTTGTTGCAATCATATTCTGTTGTAATACTATTGAATCTAACAGCCACTTTCCTGACATAATAATGACATCCTCAACAAAATGGCTTCAAAATTGAATGAAATCCCTACATTACACGCAATTCTTTCCTGTAGAACAGTGACTTGACGAGGATTCTTCTACAACGAATCTAATGGTTCATAATTTGTCAACAGAACAGTTTCTTAACTTCATGGGCCTCAAGATCCAGTTCTCAATTCTACGTTACTTCCCATACACGGATTACACACCAGGCAGCAAGGAGCCAGACAGTACCGTCACACTCAAAGACTGTCTTGATGCTAGACTGCTCTCTGTCCTATCACGTAAACTCAATTTCAGGTAGAATTTGTATAACATTCTTGGGAATTTATGCCAGGAAAATTATTGAATATAGTGCATTAAATGAGTATGTAGCATCAGACAGCTTATTTAATTTTGAATAAGACAATTCAGGTTATCAGAACAACATGGCTGTTATTTGTGCGTGTCCAACACTGTCCATGCTATATACTGTATAAGTCATGAACGAACAATAAAATCACAGCAATTTTTTATTTTTTTAAATGTTCGTTAATTTTCCCTTGAAATGCAAGAGACACTTTAGTAAAACAAATTTATTAATATTACCTAACAGTATTGAGGTTAGTGAGCCGCCTCAACGTATCTGGGGATCGCAAGAGAACGGCAAGTTCAGCGGAATGTTGGGTCTACTCCAGCGAGAGGAGGCAGACATCGGTGTTCCCATTAGTCCACAAGCAGAGCGAATGAGTGTCATGAAGTTTATCAGTGCTTATGAGAGTGATGTCTTGAGCATAGTGTCACTGAAGCCCCCGTTACTACCACAACACCTGTCGCTTATAAGACCCTTTACAGGTAGGAGTAATAAGTTTGTTTCTAAAGGTGAAACTGAGTGGTGCTGTGTACGAGATGGTGAAATAGATAACACATTAGGAACGGTGCGGATTTGAGGCTGTGTGGGACCAAAAATCCTATTAAGGGTTTTGCCTATATGAGTATCTGTAAATCTCTTATGGAAACCATTGATAAAGAGTAATTCCTTTAATTTCCACCTGGACACTGAACTTCGACGCTCTGTACACTTCACGTACTTCTTTTTCATCAAGGTACGGACGAATTTCTGGAGGAAGTCAATACGTAAATTGTTTTTATATCGTCATGTACTAAAGTTCGTCAAAGGCGGAGGTATTACTTGCTGTTATCCACTTCTCAAAATATCGATTTAACGTTTCACCTAACTCCGAATAAGTAGAGTAAGGTGTCTTCTGGTGATTCCTGAATCGTGTACGATAAGTTTTTGGCACCAACACGTATACTTGTAATACACTACTATTAACGTGGTCAACCTTTCCTACCAATGTTGTTTTTCCCACTTAAGGTTTGAAGCAAATTTCTCCATGTGAACAATAAATGTATCAGGATCATTTTCATCAAATGTTCTCCACCAGATGAACATTGTTACCAAGATAAAAAAAATCAGGTTTACTGTATTATCAGGTACATGAGTGAGGAGTTCCTTTGACGCTGTGCTAATTGTCCCAATCTTGGCAGTTTCGCTTCTCTTTCTTGTTGTTTTAATTTTAATTGTCGCTCTCTCTTGTGCTTTAGCTTGAATTCTCGCTCACTTTCTTGTTCTTTTAATTTAATTTCGTGCTCAAGTATTTCCCGTCTTATTTTAAATTGGCACTCTATTATCAAACTTTAGTAACACAAAATCTTGGCGTTGTTGAGCAAGAGGACCATCCATTTTAAATGATTTAAGACCACGTTAGTAAATAAATGAAATAATTCCTTCTGTAATTGTCACTGGAATTCGTACTAGAACTATGATGCGTAGTTTAGCTATGCATTACGAAAATGATGTAGACTGAGTCATGACACTATGGTGTTATGACTAGTATTTAGCACGAAGAATAATTCACGTCTTATTCAAGCTTTAGTTACTACTTGTCGACTGCACTGTTTTAATTACCCGTCTACTCTTAGCAATTTATAATGAAGTTCAAAATTAAGCTAAGTTAAGAAAAATAAAGAGGCCCAAAAATAAAAGTTTGTTTTGAACTAGAAGTGTTTTCAGATTCATCTCCCTCTCTGACAGGCACATCTATTGTCCATTCAATCTCCTGTAGGCACTTCCAATGATCACTTTATAATTAATAATTAGGGAAGATTGTAAAGCAGAAGTCTTATAGACAAGACAATGTGTACTCAAGGTAACAGTATTCAATTAGATAGTTATCAATTTAGTATGGTAGTAGGTAGGTAAAACGAACAGTGACAGTTTTATTATTATACTTGAAAAAAATTTTACATTCAAATAATCATAAGGAGTTAACACAAATAAGCTTTTAAGGCTTAGTAAACACTTGTAAGAATGATGGAAGGTGGTTCTCTGCATAATGAATATTGGCACCAAGAATTGTATACGTAAGATAATTACTTCATTTATGGTAAGACTCACTTGTGTTGGCGACATTCGTATGAATAAAGAAGTAAACGGAAGTATGTAAGGTTCTTTTATCTCGTCACTGGTTGTTTGGCGTTTTACAGCAAATTTAGGGAGCTCTTAGAAATCACTTATTTCACACTAGTATAACAAAGGCTGGTACACACAGTTAAAAAAGTACCGCACGGATTATGTGCGGAACAATATGACACCACGGACGAGGTGAAATATGTGTGTTGGTCCTGTATTACGGTGGTAGTCCTGCTGTCCTTGCCTGAGGGTGTCCTCATATATCTGTTGCCCTACCCTAGGTAGGTGGAAACGTTTGCCCTACATACACGCATACCAACCCTTCCGGCACATCAGGTGATGTATGGATCATTACGGAAGTCAGCAGACTCCCCCTGCGCGATATATTTTTTTTTATTTAGGTTTACAGATCAGCCTATATGTAGGTTGGACACATGGAGTACTCGTAGGTACGGGCATGGCTTGTGCTTGACGTCACTTTTTTTTCCTAATAGATGATTTGGTCGAATCATCCCGCCACGACGATCACGCGATGTGCAGGGGAGAAGAGGGTGGGGGTTCTGAGCGGCAGGTTGAATTCTCCGATTGCAGAGCAGCTAAATATCAATTTTTGAGGGAATTTTGCATATGGCGATACGAGTATGAAAATTGGCATGGAGATTCAATATGGGTTAATTATCAAATCTATCCGATTGGACATTCAAAATTCCCAGATGGCGGCCATTTTCCAAGATGGCCGCCAAATGTAGATGTCAAATTTCCTTTTTGACATAAAATTTATTGTGCTCAGCATTCAGGTGATTTCATTGTTGATTTCCATGTTTTTGAGTATGTAGAATCTGAATTTTGTGTTGAAAATTCTGAAATGGATAACATTCAAACGAAACATGCTTATAAAGAGTGAATGTCAATGTATTACCAGGGCACACTGGTGACAACACTGCTGTGAAAGTGAGCACGGGGTTCAGTATCAGCTAAGTACAAAAATCACAGTAAAGATTATTAGTACTTAGTGTTCCAAATGCTATCATATTAGCCCCAAATAAGGTTAGGTAGCCGCACCTGAATTGACAGGATGTGCCAGCGCGAGAGAGCCGAGCCACGGATAATGAGGTTAAAGTTATCTGGATGGTGTACAGATCGCACGGGACTTAAATGATACTGGATGAACGATCGGGCTAGGTGTAGGGCAAACAATTGCTTGAACTTAGTTGTATCCCATACAGGAAAGCACATATGATACAGAGTGGTAAAAGGATAAACCCTCGGCTCTGTACCACAATGGCGATGAATATTGGTCCTAAAAGTAATCCTGAGAGGAAAACAAACTGGGCCAAGTGCTGCCTTTGTCAAGATAATAAGAAGGAAGAACTTAAATCTCCAAAGACTAACCCTACTGGAAGTGAGGAAGATGGCTACAGCAAATTAGCCAAGACTATTCCTCTTTTCAACTCAATCAATGACCTTCCAATAAGGTTTGATATGGAAAGACAGGATGGTGGAGATGGTATTGCAGAGACACTGAGGAAAACAATGCAAATTATCATGAGAACTGAAGACTTAGGTTTAACAACACAATGTTACAAAGAGCCCCAAAAGAGTAACTACCTCTGTAGTTGATAGTGATGAAGGTTGCAGAAGGAAGGTACCACGAAAGCCAAGAGACACAGGAACCACAACAAAGTTTTTTTTTTATGTGACAAGCCAGCACCAGAGAGTGCTCTCCGACAAGCAATGATAATGAAACTCAATGACGGAATCAATTAATGTGCAAAGGCACTCATTGACAAAAGACTCCTTGCTAAACTTAGTGCAAGAGATGTGGTGGCACAAGTGATGAAATATCAACCTGCTTGCTTAGCTGCACGGTACAATATAGAAAAAGCTTATCTTAGTGCGAAGGAATATGAGAAAAACACAAAGAACCTTGACAAAAAAGATGCATATGCACTAGGTGTCTCTGAATTGGTGACAGACATCAATGAGACAAAAACTACACGTGAAGGTTCTATTAGAACAATTCTTAGTAGCCTAAAACAAATTGGTGTCGAATTACTTGAAGTTCATTCTACTACACTTAAAGACCAATAGATTTCACTTATTCCTCAACTGGAAGCTCACAATGAAGGAAGTGATGTTTTACTAGCATTCCAAGAGGATGAAGGCTCCATCCTGACTGAGGTTAACAAATACAATGAAACTGTTCATTTGACCTTTTACTGCAACAATAATACGACAGGATATGCTCAAACACAAGTAAAAATTCCAAACGATACTTGATGATAGAAGTATTGAAGAGGCAGTTCCATCATCAGTTCTCCAATTCATATGTATGGTTGACCATGGAGCAGACATTAAATAAAAAAATCGGCATGGAACAATCAAGATAGGAAAGCTGTTGCAGTACAACTGTTTTGCTACGTACAAGGAAGGAGCACAGTCCCACAGACATTCTAAGGCTAGCAAGACCCCATTTGCTGTGAATATTGCCATGTTCGTGTTTGCAAAGACGAGGAAAAGATTGCTTATTGACATTCTCAATCAGCATGGTATTTGCATTTACTATGATAGGGTTTTAGAAATATCTGCCCAACTTGGTGATGCTGTTGTTTCCCAGTATGTAGAAGATGGAGTTGTGTGCCCACCTGTTTTGAGAAAGCATCTTTTTACAACACCTGCAATAGACAACATTGACCCTCCTGCAACTACAATACACACATCTTTCCATGGTACCAGTATCTCTGTTTACCAGTACCCAAGCTTTGAAAATCTTGGTGAGAAACGTGAGCCACTTCATGCAAGACAAGCTGTATTGGAAGGCAATAAAAGACTTCTCATAAAAGCCAGTGACACAGATATCATTGTCATAGCTATATCTGTGTTCACATCATTAGGAGAAATTGGTCTTGAAGAAATGTGGTTTTCTTATGGTCCAGGGGTTTATAGAAAATGGATTCCTGTTCATGTGTTAGTTGTAGCCATGGGGCCTGAAAAGGCCACTGGAATCACATTTTCCCATGTATTCAGTGGTTGTGATGTTGTGTCAGTCAGTGTCCTACATCAGTTAGTGAAGAAGATCTCCGGGTCTTTGAAAAGTTTGTGGTGGTGATGTATGACAGGTCTTTATGAGTCAATGGTTCAAGACTTGATTTATTTGCTCGCAAACAGAGATCAT